CCTATAGACACGTTTCAGCAGAGACATTTGTAAATTGGGCCTACCCGTTTGACTGCTCAAAATTATTCGCTGCACCCGGTTAAGTTCATGGACACGGTTTATAACTTTATATAGTAGTCGAACATTTATCTTCTTCGTAGTAAGCTTTGACAGGTTGGGAAGGAGAATGGGTTTTCGCAAATTCAGCGCCAAACGTCAGTGTTTACTATGGGTGCTCCAACTCGCCGTCTCTACTCTTCTAGTAATATACTTGTTTTGTTCATTACTAATCTGAAGGTCTCCCACTTTGATCATTCTGTGAATTGATTTCATTAATTTCAGATTGCAACTTTTTTATGATCTTATTGTGTTTTCATTTTTATTTCGTAGTTTACGTGGTAAGTGATTTCAATGGGCTGGGAGGGGGAACTGGTGATACAGTGGGGCATAGTAGGGGAGACTGGTGAGAATAGAGTTCCGCTCCGTAGGGTTTCGGCTAATGCATTTGAGATTGGAGTATCTTAATTTTCATCTTACCTTTAGCTTCAGGACAAACTTCTGAGTGGTACTCCTCCACTTCTACTATTCTCAGAATTAAACACCATCACATTCTCTCTTGCTTTCTTGTTTTCTTGGTTTCTTACTTTCTTTGTTTTCTTGCTTTCTTTATTTCTTTCTTGTTTTATTGCTTTCTTGTTTCTTTGCTATCTTGTTTTATTGCTTTACTTTCTTACTTTATTGCTTTCTTATTTTTTGATAATACTCTCTGGGATTGATAACTATGATGTCTCAATTGCATTGCATAGAAACGTTTACCTTCTTCAGATCACCTTCTTAAAGTAGCATATTAGTAATCCAAACCTCTTTCATCCTTATAAGTGAACATCAACCAAAAAGACACAATTCCCTACCCAGAGACAGAGTTTAGATATATCTTCATCCTCTTTTTGCAACTTTTAAAACAAAACCAATAACCTTCACGTGCAAGCATTAACAAAACATTTAATTTACGTTGGATATTCTGTCTTGTTGCCAATCTATGTAACCAGTTTTATTTTCATACTTGAATGTCTGTATACAGTTAACCACTGATATATTATGGTGGAGAGGTCTTGCTCGATTATTGGAAATTAAAGGATTTATAAGGGAAGGAGATGACAAGGTATAATTAATTGCTTTACTTAGAAGTAACTTATCCTTATAGCTTTTATATATAATAGTAGAAGTGAGGTCATGTCCTTATGTATTTTATTTAAATAAAAAATAAAAAAATGATAGAGTAAACAGAAGTTAAGATACAAAAAGTGGTCATTTATAGTTGAAAAGACAAAATAGTCTAATCAAAATGTTTACATGAAAGATGCCTTTGTTAATAGTACTGATAAAAAAGATCTTTATATATTTATAATTATCAAATTGAGCTCATAAATTTCATGGTGGAAATTGCCGGATTTGTTACCTCTAAAAATCAACAAATGATGTATACAATTGAGTAGTGATCCTACGAGAAGGTGATTTTCAATACAAAAATGCTAATATCATATTTCTACACACTACCCAACACACTTCCTATTATTATGAGATCCATATAAATTTAACTCATTAATAGAAAGTGTTACCTATTATTATGAGATCCATATAAATTTAACTCGTTAATAGAAAGTGTTAAAAGAGTGTGTTGCTCTCATTGTACTTAAATATAATGATCTAAAACGCATCACATTGGAAACTCTTTTTAAGGCTTTTTGAGTTTAAGGATTGGGCAGAATGATATTTTTTGCATTCAGCATGAAAGTGGAAATGTGCCACACTGGCACTGCCATGCACTTTAATACATTTTCCCAAGTCCTAAACTCCAAGCAAAAGTATAGTGTCATTGGTAATTCTGTGTGATTTGATTTCAAGTTTTCTCCATACAATTGCAGATCCATGTTCAGGTAAAATACCAGGAGCCAACAGAATTGGGGATGGAATTTGTGAAGTCTATGAGTGAGCAAGATTTCTATGTCTACCCTGAGGCAGATATGTTGCTTACAAGGAAAACTAACAAACCATTTTCCTCATTCTCGGAATGGGGAAGGGGTTGGGCTGATCCTGAGATCTGCCGCCAGTGGTTGGAAAAAATGAATCTCAATAAAAAGCCAAAGATGCTACCAAGTCCCAAAAACAAAAGGCAACGAAGGAGAAAAGGTAAGAAATGGCAATCTGATTTGAGGACTTCTTGTGCTAGGCTAGTAGCAAAACTTACAAAATTTAAGTGATATTTTATCTAGCTTTTAAAACTTACGATTTACAGTATTTTTAGTTTACAGTTTGTCTCATTACAAATAAGTTTTCAAACATACTTACTCATTGGCACCTGGAAGGGAATTCATTCGTCTGTGATCATCTCAATTTTTTCATTAGTTGTTAAGTCACGATCAAACATTAAGTGCCTTTCATTTTAAATCATTGTTTTTTTTCTTCTTGTTTCGTGTATATCTTGAAGAATGTATAGCGGTTAATCCACTTCAAACAAAGGTAAATCACATGAATAGCAAAAATATGTTTTTATTCTCCATACAACAATTTTTTGTTCAGCTGTTCTCGTATACCCTCCTGCGCTGCTTTTGACAATGGGTTGTGAATTCAGTTTTACAATTTTGGAATACTTTATTTTACAAAGTTATAATTTACAATTATTGTCATAATATTTTAACAAGGAAAATGACTCTAATTTTTGTTACTTAATGATGGGTTATTTTGTTTTATTGATGATAAGCTTGAGTTTGCATCTCATTTTGTTCTGATTTGAGTGTGAATTCCATGTTATTACTTATATAAAATATTCACTGTTTTTTTTTAATGATCAGGCTTTGTTGAAAAGATTTCATTGATTATTTCTAATTACATGTCATTTTTTATTTTCTTTGATTAAAGTAAACTATACTAAAATATAATTTTTACCTTGTGATGCACATTCCCATCGTTCTTCTCTAAGCTTTTTGGTTAGATTTTAAACTTGTATTACTCCCTTGATTCTCACATGTAATACTTTTTACTGATAGTAAGTTAATATGTTTGAGTCATTTATTAATGCATGTCAGGCTTCATTTTGTTGCTTTCCTAATGAGCCCCTTTCATGCAGCTGTCACTTGTGCAAGTTTGTTGCAAACAAGTGCTTTTTTATGCTTATATTAT